CTGCACCCTGACCCTCGCTGCACCCTGACCCTCACTGCACCCTGACCCCTCACTGCACCCTGACCCTCGCTGCACCCTCGCTGCACCCTGGCCCCTCGCTGCACCCTGACCCTGACCCTCACTGCACCCTGACCCCTCACTGCACCCTCGCTCCACCCTGGCCCTCACTGCACCCTGGCCCTCTCTGGGGCGTCCACAGCTCTTTTCCTTCTTCTCACTGTCCTTCACGCTGATCTTCAGTCCTTTCTTTTCCTGTACCTATTTTCCTATGTGGGCGCTTTGTCCGCCGCATCTCTCTCCACCCCAGAAGAGGTCACCTGACCCATGACACCACAGTCGCACACGGTTGTGAGCCACACGGGGTGCTGGGGCCTGAGTCCTAGGAGAGAGCAGCGGTGCGCTAACTGCCGAGCCAGCTCTCCGATCCCCCTGCCTCAGTGCCTCCGTAGTCATGGCGACTGGCCACCCTGGGCTGATGGGCAGAGGACCGCGCTCGGCGGCTGTGCTGGGGTGGGGACCCCAGGCGCACAGGGCGGTCGGATGACAGGCTGGGCCCCGGGTGACCCCGGTCCCGCCCCTGCTGACCCCGGTCCCGCCCCTGCTGACCCCGCGTCCCGCCCCTGCTGACCCCGCGTCCCGCCCCTGCTGACCCCGCGCCCTCCCTCCCCCGCAGACCGTGAAGCGTCCCCGCAGGGTCCAGCTGCCAGCAGCCAGGACCGGCGCGGGCCACGCGCCCTCCGCCCGGGAGGAGGCTGACCACGGCCGGGGCTACGAGGGCGACTCCTCCAGCGGCTCCGGCCGGTCCTGCGGGGAGCCTTCCCGCCGGGCCAGGGCGGGACGCCGCGGCCGCGTGGGCAGTCACGGGCGCCGCAGCTCGGGAGGCGGATCTGAGCCCAACGGACTGGACCTGGTGTCGGGGTACAAGCGCCTGCCGAAGCAGGACGTGCTCATGAGGCCGCTCAAGTCCGTGCTGGTGAAGCGGAGGAACAGCGAGGGTGAGCTGGGGGCGTGGTCAGGGTGGAGCCCCGCCTAGAATCCCCAGTGAGGGGCTGGGGGCGTGGTCAGGGTGGAGCCCCGCCCAGGATCCCCAGTGAGGGCTGGGGGCGTGGTCAGGGTGGAGCCCCGCCTAGAATCCCCCAGGGAGGGGCTGGGGGCGTGGTCAGGGTGGAACCCCGCCCAGAATTCCCAGTGAGGGGCTAGGGGCGTGGTCAGGGTGGAGCCCCGCCTAGAATCCCCAGTGAGGGGCTGGGGGCGTGGTCAGGGTGGAGCCCCGCCTACTTCAGAGGCTAAAGCAGGATTACAAGAATTCAAAGCGAGTTTAAATGATCTGGCGTCCTGCCTGGCGTCCTGCCTCAGTTTCCCCCTCTCCCCTCAGAGTTCGGGGTGAAGCTGGGCAGTCAGATCTTCATAAAACACATCACGGATTCTGGCCTCGCCGCTCGGAACCGCGGGCTGCAGGAAGGAGACCTCATCTTGCAGGTGAGGCCAGGCTTATGCTTCGGGTGGGGAAACCGAGGCCAAAGCGGGCCGGGCCGTGCTGCCAGCCCAGGGATCATGTCCAGCCCTCCTCTGGCCGTCTCTGGGCGCCCGCTCCTCCTCTGGCTGTCTCTGGGCGCCCGCTCCTCCTCTGGCTGTCTCTGGGCGCCC